AATTAGCTCTCAATGAAATGCGACCAGTTTTAATTGAAGCAATGACGCTTAGGTATAAATTTTTTTTTTTTTTCTAATCAATGAAATCTAACTAATAATGATTATGATAGAGTTGGTCATCATTCAACGTCAGATGATAGTTCAGCTTATCGTTCGATTGATGAAGTTCGTTCACGTGATAAAAGAGATAATCCATCATTACGTGTTCGTAAATATATGTATAACCGTGGTTGTTGGAATGAAGAAAAAGACGAACAATGGACTAAAGATTCACAAAAAATGGTTTGTTTTTGTTTTTCAATTCTATTTTTATTTTCAATTTAATTAAATATGTTCATTTGTTTAGGTAATGGAAGCATTTGCTAATTGTGAAAAAACTAAACGAGCACCTATTTCAACAATGTTTGAAAATATTTATGATAAAATGGAACCACATCTACAACGACAAATGAAAGAAATGAAAGAACATGTGCGTCAAAATCATGATCATTTTCCATTATCATTATACGAACAATCTTCAACATAAAACAGTATTTTAAATTTTTTGTTTTTTCATTTGAATTATTTTTCTTATAAAGTATATCTTCTTTCTTGGTCACTCACAGTCGTATGAGAAATGAAATCTACGTAAATAATTTCTTAATCATCATTATATTATTATAGATACAAAAACAAAGTTGATTGTTTTATTATGATAATGTCAGTATTGTTTAACATTTCGCTCGATATTATTACATTTGAGATAGGTTGGGATAATAATAATCGATTTAAGATTACAATTGAAATTTGTATCATTACAAATTATACTTTGTATAGAAGGTTTGAAGGGAATTTAGGACTATATTACAATGCAAATCTCTTTACAATGTTAAAAATTTATCGAAAGAGGAAAGCCTCTTCAACTGATTAATCGCTTTTAAGTTGAAACAGACTATGTACATCATGCAGACCTTGATGGCTCATGAATACTACAAAAAAAGAGAGCTCGAAGCTCACAGCTTATTCCTTTCGACATATTGCTTTTTTATGGTATTTTTCAATACATTGCTGTGTTCTCCCTCAGGAAACAAGCCTTGACTAAAATAGTTTATTGTGAAAATTTCAGATATTTTTGTTATTCATATGCAAAAATACAGCCATGATGATAGTGCATCTTTTACATCACTCATATACATATTCGCACATTCGATATTTTAATTATATCAGGCTAGGAACAGATCAAATGGGCTGATACTTCCATGATTAGCTAATCTCGTCAAGTCTTGTTTCTATACAAAGTTTCAAATCGAAATTCGAATATCAATTTTTTCTGATATTCTTGAAGAAAACTATAGCATTACATCAAAAAAATACTGTAAAAATGTAATATGTTAGCAGTAATAAGTTATGAGCCCGAACTCTTCTCTGAGTATTCATAATCCATTAGAGTCTACATGATGCATATGCTTTCGACTCAAAAGCAATTAATCAGTTAGAAGAATTCTCTTGTGGGTTAGATTATAAAGCTTTTGTTGCTATTAAAAAAAAAACTAATATTGCTTTTTAGCTATAATAGTTCGTCGTAACCCTTTGACGGCAAACTTATTCTTAGAATACATGAAGTAAAAATCTATTGCTAAGATGGTATACTTTGAAAATTATGGACGATCATGATTTATATACTTAAACTTGCTTTAAAGACGTAATGCTGTTAAATGTAGCATTTATGTTAGAATACAAAATATACTGAAAAGACCTGTTTTGCTATATTTCGACTTTGCCCTCTATTCAAACTTTGTAAACGTAAATTTATGGACTTCGTCATCAAAGAGTTAATGATTTATATCAACAATAAACATGAGGTAATATTTAGATTGTTAAAATAATTTCTTCGAATTGATTAGGAGCAATTGGATTTGATGATCGAGTGTATTAGCATGTTATTCAACACTTCTTATTTTCCAATTCATTGAAGCAGAGCTTTCAACTATTACAATGAATGTATATGTCAAGTTCATCTACTCAACGTATCAATAGTACAATGAACATTCATATTTGTTCATCGATTTGAGAAAGTTATGGAATAAATACGTGACAGGCAACTATCACGTTTGTTTATTTTCTTAGAAAATTATCCGAAAAAAAAAGCAATTTCACGATCGTGATGATTGTAAATTATTGAATGAACCTAGTAGAAACTACAATGAAATTTTTCTTTCTTTTTTTTCTTCTATTTTCCATCTTCTAATTTATATTTAGATATGATTTTCGTTAGATTGTCAATGATAAAATCACTTACTCATCTCATGATAGGATCCATTTGTCTTATTTTTGTATGAAATAAATGATATTTATTTTCAATATTTACTTCATTTTTCGCATTGTATTTGTGTGTAAATAATTTATCCTATATGAACATGAATCGAACAAAGAAAAGAAAATAAACATTTCCGAATAAATCATTTCGTTATTATTATTCTTCTTATTTAGTTAATACCTAACTTTAATATCATAACAATTTGCCACTTATTCTGTTATATAATTTTTCCTCTGATATTATTCATTCTAGCTTTAGCTTTTCTTACTTGGACTGAAATGAGAATTCAATTATGTATCATCAACTATGTTACCAAATCCTTCATTAGATAATGATCAAAATATCATCATCGATATATCAGAAATATTCATTGATGCAACCGAAAATAAAAGAAGTTCATTATTTTTCTAGTGTACTATTAATAATTCATAAATGTCTATTTCACATTCTAACGTTTTATTGACAAAAAAGAACATAAATAATCATTTGATTTTCTAACGTGAACCGTCATGTTTTGAAATTCAAGTGATATTGAACGGAATGATTGATGATGAACTTAATAGACATGATAGTTTGTAATTTCATATTAAATAAAGTATCTATATAGGCGAATAATTATTTTTAGAAAAATAAGTAAAGAAAACGAAATTTTAGATAGATTTCAATGGAAATGTGGGTAGTTAATCGTGATCAATGTGTTTATACATCGTGTTATTGGTAAAAAAATCTGACATTTATATTTATTGTTGTAATAGATCTATTTTAAGTTGAATTTTAGTGAAGAAAATATTTGGAAACTTTGTGAATGTTGGAAACAAAATAATCCAAATCATTTAAATTCTCTCTATGCAGTATTTATTTCTAATAAACGACGACAAATTCCTATTTGGGAACAAAAATCTGCTTCCAACAGTGAACATCTTGCTATATGGGTATGAAAATTTTTGTTCAATATTAACTATAAATATTGATTTAAATTTTTAAAGGATTATCATGTGATCTTAGTTGATAAATCTTCATCTCCTTCTGTCATATATGATTTCGATTCTACACTTCCGTTTCCTGTTTCTGCAACTAATTATATTCAACTAGCTATTCATGATGAAATAAACATAGTACATCGATATCATCGGTATATATTAAAATAACATTTTTATTATTTATAATTTATTCATTGTCTTTATTTTGTGTTTAGCATGTTTCGAGTAATACCAGCTCAAGAATATCTTGATGTATTTGCATCAGATCGTTCACATATGCTAAAAGAAGATAAAATAACATATATAGCATCACCACCATCATATCCGCCAATTTGTAATCAAAGTATCAATGGTTTTTTTTTGTTCATTTTAAAATATTATATAATAGCAAATTTTTTTCTTGCCTATAGAATCAACAAATAATATTAATGAATTTATTGACATGGAATCAAAAAATGGACCTGGCATTGTAATGAATTTAACTGACTTTCGGCGATTTTTAGGAATTTGAAAATTAATATGAAATAATAAAAAGAAAATGATCGAAAGGATAAGACAATTGTGCATTATTTTCTGGATTAAGTGTACATATTTTGTTTAAAAAAACAAGAAACCTATAATTAGTCGCATGTTTAACACAAGCATGGTTCTTATTTCACTTCCTACAAATCTTTACTGACAAACGTGGGATTCAATCACATACATACGTATACAAGATTGAGAGTTGCATGTAAAAATTGAAAAATTGACCTCATGAAATGAGATGATCTCTTTGGTACACGGTAATTTAATGTTGACATGCACCTTTTAGAACTTATCGAAATGGTATGGAAAGACAAAAACTATATTCATTGTTAAATGGCGAAAATCGTAGCAGACAGCAGCTCTAAGATAAGAAAAAATGACAGAAGATTACAGGAAATTTTTAAAGCAATTACTACTTACTCTCGTTTTGAGGATTCATACTCGATTAGCAGAGTGCGCTAAATATTCGTATTTATACTCATATATAATGTTTCTTGTGCTGGAGTAAATTGTTAGTTATTTTTTGGACTTCTCTGAATTACTTCTCCATAATGCGAAGAAAATTCATTCATATGAAGAATTAACATACGTTTATCAAAATGATAAAACAAGTGTAAAATTGAAATGTTTATGTCGGTAAAATGTACATTAATATATTTTTTCATGCTTGAGCTAAACATACAACGATATAATAAATGAAAACAAGTGGAGAGACAATTTCAGAACGTATTGATCTTAACTATAAAACAAATTTAAAATCAATAGACTTGAAAAATAAACATGTTTCTGTATCAAACAAAATATTATTATTAATGTTACTTAATTACAGATAAAAATATATGAAGTTATATTTATTCAATGATTTTTTTTCTCCTAGCGTTACAATAAATTTAAACTGACAAAATCAAAATATAATCATCAGCAATCATTTATTTAAAAAATTCTCATAGTTCAATTTAGTCATCAGTATATTTATAATCGATAGGTAATTTGACAAGATATTTTGAATCATTAATAATTGAATAAAGAAAAGGTCGACGATCAGCTAAATAAGGTGTCGATCGTATTTTATGTAAATAATTCTTAGGAATAAGGTCAGCTACTATGAGTGGATCTTGCTCAACTCGACACAATTCATTACCATCTGGTCCAACAATGCGTGAAAGACCAATAAATTGCGGTAGAGACAAATTGGCATAGGCAAGCCAAACATGATTCTCCAAAGCTCGAATTGGTACGATAAAACGAGCGATGTTTTCATTTGCCGGTGATGTAGCTAAAGCCGTAGGTACGAGTAGGAGTTGAGCTCCGAGAAGAGTCAAACAACGTGCTACTTCAGCCATTTCCATATCGTAACATATCATAACACCTACTCGAACACCTCGTATTTCAACAACAGACGATAATTGATCACCTTCAGCAAATATTTCACGTTCTTCGTTAGCCCACAAATGAGTTTTTCGATATGTAAGTAAAATATCACCATGTTCATTAATTAACGTTGCTGAATTATATATCTTCTCATCAACTAATTCAGGATAACATATTAAGAGAGCAATTGAATATTGATTTGCAATATTTTGTAGATGAGCAATTACTTTTTCTTGAATAATATAACGAGCAGCAGATAAAGTGATCTCACGACTTAGTCCATAGCCTGATAGAAATAATTCAGGAAAAACAAGTAAATGAGCTGAATGTTCACGACTAGCACGTTCTGCTTGT